TATATGAAGTCATACAAAATTCTTCTTAATTTGCTCATAAGCATCTTTTATTATTCCTCCTCCTTGGATCATCTGTAAAATTGTTATGCAATATTAAAATGAAAGTGTTCCAGTCTTTGTTTTGATTATAGCTATAAGGCAAAGAGGTGCCAGTCATGCCACATTCCCAAGTGAGAGTGATCAGACACATTGTGTTGGATTTGAGTGGAGTATCTTTAAACAATGCAAAATAAAAAAAGAGTTAAAAATCTAAGAAATGGAGGGAGATAGGAATTTGAGTTAAGAGGTTTTGGTGTGTTCTAAATATATACGTCTAATATGAAATAAAAGGTTCTACTACACAGGAAACCTTTGCTATGTTTCCCTTTCCCTAGAATTAGGGTGGATTGCTTTTCATATCATTACAGAAGAATATAAAATGCTGTGCTTAGCTTTGCCTCTCAGAGGGCTGCAGGAAAAGAGGGTGATATTCTAAAAGGGAGGGGTTTCTTTTGCACTGTACATTGAAGAGGGAGCAAGAACAGGAGCTGCATTTTCCTGCTCCACCAGGAAGGGCTTGATGGAGAATCTATAGATCCTTATTAGACAGTTTAGGCACAGGGCACAGGGCTGTGCTGACAGAACCCTATAGGCTGTGCTTTGAAGAAAAGTGCCTATCTGAGGAGAGGAAGGTGTTTGCTGAGGCTCAGGCTCTTTTGCTGAGAGAGCTCCCGCTTGAACATCATTAGTCTAGAGGGGTCACCTTTAAAAATTCACAGAAAGAGAAGCATGCCAGTGAAGTGAGTAGGGTAGTAAGCTTCTAGTCATGAATGCATCATCAAAATCAGGTCAGATTCTGCAGTCCCAGAGTCCCAGAGCTGGGGAGTCTTCAAAGGACTGATCAATTGGCACCAGGAAAGTCAGTTTGAGCACCTGCTGAGCTCAGGAAAAAGCAATGCTAGATTAGCTCTGGACAAAGAGGACTTTCCTTGGTCCCTCACACTTTGTATCTCTGTACTCACACAGGAATCAAAAGCTCTGGTTGCCGATTGAGGCAGAGAGATCATAGGGACAAGAAGTTGGATGAACAGAAAGAAGAGCCTGTTGGGTCTTACTGCAGGATTCCCTCTTGCTGTCCTCTAGAACTGGTTGAAGGGAAAGGCTTTAACTCCCATAGGCTGGAGTGTTGGGTATTGCTTTGCCTTAGATATTATTCCATTGGTGTCCCAATCTCTCTTTCTCTCTCTCTCCGGATAAAATGAGGAAATGATTTTTATCTGAGAACACTGAAGATCAGAGTACTAGCCTTAGATAATATCCATGGGGTTAAAGAAAACAAGCTCCATTGGCAAGGTGTTCAGGGTCAATAATAAGAACAGAGTAGAGTCGTTTGTCTGGTACTTTATGAACCTTACTTGTTTGGCATATGGGCACATAACTGATCAGCAGTTTGGCTTTATCTCTCTCTCTCTCTCTCATCTCTCTCTCTCTCTCTCTCTCTCTCTCTCTCTCTCTCTCTCTGTGTAATATTTGTGTACATGTTTGTGTGTGAATGCAGTTCCAGAGTATCAAGGTACTCACGTGTAGGTCAGAGGACAGCGAGTCCTTACTGTTCATCTTGTTGAGACTAAGCCTCTGGTTGTCTGGCTGCTGTGTGCTCCACACTAAATGGTGTAGAAGCTTCTGTACACTCTCCTATCTCTGCCCCCATCTTACTGAGGAGTGCTAGGATTATAGACATGTGACACTGTGCCTGACTTTTCTTGGGTTCTGGAGATTCAAGCTCAGGTCCTCATGTTTGTATAACAAGCCATCTACTAAGCCAAATCTTTTCTATTTGTTTTCTTG